CTATTCCTTTTATTGAAAAAAAGAATCTAGCTTATGCACTGAATCTTACATAAAATGTATAAATAATGATTGATCTAATTCTAAATAACAGAGGAAGACTTCATTTCGCAAAAATGCTCTTTTAGCTTTGGGTGCAGTGTGTCAAAATATTGAATTATTTTTAAGTGGATCGACATTAATTTTTGGGTTATTTATTTATTATTGGTTATTATATTTCTTGCATATTTTGCTTTATTGCGTCCGATCAGTATTATTTTTCAGTTATTGTATCAGCATTATTATTGTATTGTTTTATAGTTTTATTGTTGTTACTACAATACGTGCTAAATATAATTGATGAAAAAATATATATATATAATTTTCTCTCTACTTTTCTGTTTAAAATATTTTCCAAAATGCTTTCTTTTTTGATCACAATAAATAATCATCAAATATATATGGCATATGCAAATTACCTTCAAGAGGATGTAAGTATAGAAACAGAACTTGAAATGTAGGCAACGCAAAGTCTTGTAAGGAATTTGGTTTAAATCTATATATTTAGCGTCGGAATGGGCTTGACAGGTTATTTTCAATACTGGTTCTTTCCAATACTCGGTCGATGTATTCTTTTCACTATTTTTATAAGAGCGGCAATGCTCTCGTATTATCTTTCAGATCCCCCTGCTTCGGTCTTGGGCCCATACTCTATTGGTTTGTTGAAAATAGTTATAATCTCACTTATTTGATTTTATTTTGTTTTCGTTTATTTTATACAGTTTGTCGTTTACCTACTTCTCTATGACATTGTCGTTTTTTACATAATGCTATAAACAAGCAAGCGTCAAGCTTGTCCCTGTTATCCCTTTATTCTTTGAAAATAAATACGTAATGCAAAAAAAGTTGTTAAGTTCTTTCGTCGTCGGAGAGAAGAGAACTCAACAAAAGATACGTAATCAGAGTTCCTTTCAGACACGCAGGTTGTACTTATTTAGAGGCAAACATGATATTATTCAATATTAGTCCAGTTAGGCGTTTTGCACACGAATACTTAAGGGGTGTTTTTGTACAACCTACACAACTCATCCATCTCAAGAAAACACTTTCCTCTAAATTTTAGTAAAATTACTCTTTCGGAATTCTGTTTGAAGTAAATCGCAATCCCGCCACTCTTAATAACTGTATACTTCTATTCGGCGTTATTAACCATCTACCTAAAAGATATGCACCATCACAAAAAATATCCCAACGACAAAAGTAATTCTAAAAGCCAAAATCGCACAAACGTAAATAAGGTCAAATTATAAAAAAGTTTTAATAAAATGAAATGGAGTGAAATAATATGCATTTTTGACAAAAGCATTCAATCAAAAATTGGAAATAATGAGTTACATTGCTCTCCAAGTCTGCTCCACAAAATACTTACACGTATTCCGAGGCATGCGATTACCAAAAATTTTAATCAGTTATAAGTAAAAAAAAGTAAGTTTACAAAAATTATGCAAACATTTATTTGCATTTGTTTCATTATTCTTGTTTTTCATGTTTGGGCGGATCACGGATACAAAGAAAAAGAATTTTGAGTGCCAACAGAGTCTTGCTTTAAAACACCGGAGGGTGGTAATAGAATTGTGTACATTTGGTGAACTAGCTAAAACTTGTACAAACGACGCATTGTTGTTCACAGGTGGAACACAGCCTTCAGTATAATAATAATATACTATTTGCGGTTTATTATCTAATTATTCTTCATATATTTTTGGAGGCCTTCGTATGACTCGTAGTGACTCTACATACGCAAAGCGAAAACTCGAAAATGAAACCCTTCTATTAGCACGCACAATTACTACGAAAGATAGGTAGTACTTTAAAAGTACTTTACCAACACAACCCTTCTCCACCTCTTGAAGCTCCTTTTCGATTCTGCTGTTCCATCAAATGCTACAAAACAATGTTGTGATACGTTTTGATTAAAATTACTCAATTATTTATTGACATTACTACATCAACATTTTACGTAACTTTGAAAACTTTAAATTTTTTACCTTCCTTTGCAACTCTCATGTTAGAAATTCTCGCCATTGGGTAGACCTCACAAACTCCTACAATAGACGTTGCTCTTAAGGAATATATTTTGACGCTAAAAGCTTTCATGCTATTGCGTACGAAATATCAAACATGTTTATAAAAACACAACGACTTGTACTGTACAAACCAACCAGAAGATAGAAAAAATTATATAAAGTTTAAATTTAAACTAGACTAAATAAATTGCAAGAAAGAAAAGATACTATATTTTGATTTTATATCTAATATAAAATAAATGCTATAGTTTGTTGCATTATCATAAGTGAATCCCAATTTTTTTTTTTAACTAAGATTGCTTTTCATTCGATCTAGTTTTCCAGATAATAATCATTTATATTCAAATTATTCGAAAATATATTTTTCTTTAGTTAAAATATAAACTTAAAAATTTTAAGAAAAAATCGAAGAATTATTTTAACTATTTCAAATAATTTTAGACAACTTTAGAAAATACTGCAAATTTCTAAAGCACAAACGTTCCTTTTTTCACGGAAGTAGAGAATAGTTTAGCGTTAAAATCACTCTGTTAAAAGCTAAACATAAATATATACAGATGTAGTAAGGGTGTTACATTAACACTATCGGTTTTAGCCAAGCGTAAAAACCGATAAATGGTACTTGTCCATTATAGAGGGTGCAGAAACGTCGCAAAACATCAGCTATATGCAGCTTATAAGTGCTCTTATTTTCCATTTCTGTTTTTTTGGTAACAAACCTTCTGCTGTCGGTTGCCGCGCTTGTTAAACGCTTCAACGATTAGGTCTCAGGCATATTTAGTTTACTACTTTAATTTGATGCGGTTTTCATTGCTATTCATAAAAGGACTCTTCCTTTTCTCCTATTACATTCTGTTAATTCTTGGCGGTATTTCATGTTATTGTAATCATCGGTCTCACGAAATATCATTTCTTGCAATGCCATATAACCAATCATGGAAATGAAATGAGTTAAAAGGAACTCCGGCATTTTTAATTAAGACGCTATGTTGCAACATTTGTAAAACTCTAAAACTCTAAAACTCTAACATGCGCTGATATATCGTAATGTGCATCAATAAATTTTTGTAATGGACATTGCATTAAATCATATAATTGTATCAGAAATTTTCTGCGTTTAAAGTCTCCATCAGGATATTCGCTGCTATGGTCCGGTCGTGACTCATCTTGAGTCTTAATCTGAAATTAAATAGAATAATCAACTTTGGCAACCCTGCCGCGCGGTATAGCAGTCTATATTTTGTTTCGGCAATTAATTTTAATTTCCTGCTGAATTTCGTGGCTATTTTACCTTATAGTGTGTGAATTTATAATATACTTTGAGAAGAAAGTGAGTGAATTCAAAGTAAAAGACGTATTTTTTGTTTAGGGTTTGATTCATTGGATTTTTGCAAACAAAAATTTAAGCTCTAATATAAATCTCTCTTTCTTTTGTTTTGTTTTTTTTTCTATCTTTTCCCTGTTTATTTTTTCGGTGTTTGTAGTTTGTTTTGCTTTTGATCTCTTGTTACAGTGTCAACGTAACAGAGAAGTTTTGCTCAAATTGGTTGACAAATTTTTGTGTTGAGAATTTTTTTGCAATTTGTCTGTCTGTTCTTCATAATCCACTTCTGTCTTTTAGACTGGACATGGAGTGTTTATATACACCTTGTCGGGCGAAAACGGGCTCGGAATCTGAAAGATGAATTACTGACCACAGTTCAGTAAAGTCAGATGTAAAGTCGGAAGTAAAAAGTAACGTAAGAATTAATAAGCAAGAGTTAATAAGTAAGAATTAATAAGAGTTTAAAACCAAGATAATTATAATAAATAACAATTCAAAAGAACCGTTTGTTGTGTTTGCACTACAGTATATTTCTCCACACCAGCATGGCTTTCGGGTCACCAATTTGCTAGAGTTTACTTGTCGTGTTTTCAAAGCTTTTTCTAGGAGCTCTCGCACAGATGTAATATACACTGATAAAGCGTTTGATTTGGTTAACCATAACTTACTTATCTTTAAACTCCAAGCTTCTGGCTTCCCTTTCTATTTAGTGAAATGGATAAGCTCTTATCTGCACAATAGATCTTTCAGGGTTCTGTTTAACTTCATCACGTCGGATGAATTCCCCATGACGTCTGGCGTACCTCAAGGCAGCCACTTAGGTCCCATTTTATTCAGTTTATACCTTAACGATCTTCCATCGGTGATTAATTCTAGTCAGATCTTAATGTACGCTAAAAATGTGAAACTGTTTTCTTCTTTCTCTCTAGAATCGCAATCACATCACCTTCAAAGTGATTTGAATAATTTGGTTGCATGGTGCTCTTTGAAAATTCTGAAACTAAATCTAAATAAATGTAAGAAGCTTTCTTCCTCAAGAAGAAGATCATTCATTACTCAGTATTTCATTGATTCGCATAAGTTGGAGGACGTCGATTCGATCACAGATTTAGGCGTTCTATTTGACCATAGGTTACGTCTCAACTTGCATATTGAGCTCTCTAGGTCCGCGCTTGGTTTTATAAAGAGGTGGTCCAAAGAGCTTGATGATCCTTACATTACCAAAAGGCTGTACATGTGTTTGGTTAGACATATACTTCAGAATGCCTCTGTTGTGTGATCTCCTTCATGTAGGTGCTATGTAGACTCAATTGAATCTGTTCAAAAGCAATTCTTGTTATTTGTCCTTAGGAATTTGGGTTGGGATCCGATTGCCTCTCTTTCCCCCTATAAAGATAAGTTGCTTCTGTTGTCCTTACCGTCTCTCCAAAAACGTAGACTTATCCTTGGCGTTTCCTTCGTAATCAAAGCTTTAATGTCCTCAACCGCTTGTGTGGCTCTATGTTAGTTGTGTATGTGCTTTTTTTCTTTTTTTTTGCTTTTTTTCCTTCTTATTTGTTTTATTATAATTATACTGAGTTTTAATACTAATTAATGTAAGATTTACTTTAAGAGTCAATTGAACTCGACTGTCAAAATTTTTTGTTGAGTTTCTTGTATAAATAAATAAACAAGTTATAAATGACAATCAGTAAAGATAAATTCAAACTCACCATTGGAATACAGCGAACACAGCGAGGAGGGAAGAGCTGACGTGCGGAGGAGCTGACGCGCGGATGTTTTTAACTGTGCAATACCCAAGTAGATGGACCGAAACCAAATTTGCAGAAAAGGCAATGTTTATACATTTTCATTTTTGTTTTTTTTTTTTGTGTCATTTCAGCATATATAGGAATAATGCGTGCCAGTTGAATTAGAGAGGAATAGAAAACGCATGTCACAGCAAATTTGCAGGGCTAGTTTTCCTATAGGAATTTCTAAGGGAGGTATTAAACGCTGGCCTCCGCATATCGGACATCACTGCTGTAAACTGAATAACTTGTTGCGTCTAAAATATTGTTCTATTATAGTCCATACTTGATATTCTCTTGTCTTGTAATAAACTTTTTTTATTTTGTTTTTACCATCTATATTTATTGTAAATTTATTCAAACTTTTTTAGATTGATTAGAGAGCAGCATAAACCTGAAGATTTATTTCTAGTTCTTTCCTTTATGCGAAAACTTCTTGAGATAAGTGGTAGTTATGGAAATCTGATGCGAGAAGGCCTAGCAATAATTAGTCCAAGACACATCCTGGCAAGCTGGAATTGGTATAGGTTTAGTTTGTGGGGTTAGGCACATGTTAAGCGGCATATAGGATAATTTGTTTACTGTGCAACAGTCGAGAGGAGAAATAGGCCTACATACGCCTAGAGAGGGCAAAATCGGCTCCGTCATACCATATGAAGACCCATTCTCACACTGTTGGTTACGTGCAGCATAAGAATGCGGCACGTAAGATAGTTTTTGTATGGTGCAATTTTGTACCGATGCTTTAACAGTGGATAAGTTTTGGAATGGCCAACCCCATTCCTCACCACAACTATTTGTATACAATCGACTATATAAGGGTTCAGTTTTCACCGGCGTTAGCGATTGTACTGAGAAACCGTGTGGAAGTATCGGCCTTGGCTGTGTCCATACCGTCTGATAGCAGCAACCTGAATTGTCACCGCAACCGTTACTACTGGAATTACATTGTCCTGTTAATGTACATTCGTCTGGCACATCGCACATAATCTGAGGATCACACATTTCAATGGCTACAACTTGTTCTTTGGTATTGCATACAAATTGTATTTTTTCTTCGCGCAATTTATTGATTTAATTTTTAAAAGTTTTCCTTTAGAAAAAGAGAATACAATACAATAGAACAATCGGCAGATTCTTCTTGTCGCTGTAGAACTTTCGAAATTTTTTTAGTCTTCAAATATTTGCTATTTTAAAATCAACCCGGTTTTGATTTTGAATAAATTTTTATCGCGCAACTACTAAAGGAGAAAAATAATGCACATTGAATGCATATAATGACAATATATTTTTTTTTTTTTTTGAGAAATTCAATCTACGTGGAGTTACCAAACTTTGACAAACAATATGAAAAACATGGTTTGTAAGTAAACAAATCACAAGATGAAATACTTTAGCTGATGTAAAAAATTTCGTAGTTTTATTGGGAACCTTTCTTCAACTGTTATATCTTCGTTTTGTTCGTTCAGTCCATATTTATATAATAAAACCATATTAACATCTTAAAATCTAAAACAAAGCAAATGAAAACACTATAGCGATTCATGGCCCACTACATCGCCTCAGTAAGCTGCAGTTAATCATTAACGACTCTTTAAAATGAGGTGTTATATAAGAAGTGCTCGAAAAAGTTGTCCCAAACCATTTTCATTAGGCTTCGTCCTTAGGAGAAAATATATCGGTTTGCCTAATTTCATCAAAATATTTCACACAAGCTCAGTTCAATTAGAGATTCACCTTCTGAATCGATCGGCCGAATAAAAGGAGGTTTTATATCAAGTCTCTCTAGATGTCGCGTACATCCGCACAAACTTCATGTTCCCTTGTACCAAAAGCGGGATAGAAGATAAAAAAAAATTAATTAAATACTTTTAAAAGCGTAAACTTTATGTTTTGCAGATATACATTCCATCCTTTAAGTTAGCGACTTTCTGAGACGATTTTGTGCATTTATTGAAATATTTCTTAATTAAAAGAAGTGTATTAAAAAAGATAGTGAACATAACTGCGATATGTGTATGTAAATATTTTAAGAGCCAATGGTTTTCATAGACGCGTTCCAAGGAAAACCATTTACAAGCGAAGTTAATATGAGAAAATAAAGTTTGCTAGACTCCACGTAAATGATATAAATTTTTTGAAAAGTCTAATCTTCAACGAAGAGCCGAAACTTAATATATGCGGAAACCATGACAAACGAAGAGAAAGAAGGAAACCTAACGCAGTCAATACGAAATTTATTAGCAACTATAAAACGCGAACCTTTCTAGTAATAACGAATGACACCATGGTGGAAGTTTAATTTAGCCATTCTTGTTCTGTTAACTTTTTCCTGCCTAAAATTGAAGGAAGGTTTACGCGTGATGTCTGTTTTCTGTAGGACAGCACCATCTGCCGCACTGTTGAAGCAACGACAACAAATTATTATTACATGCTGACTTAAGCGAAACTTGTGTCATACGTTATGCGTGGCTCTCAATCGCTTTGCATTGTTTCGGCTTTACAAAGATATTCCTTGTGTGTACAAGCTATATGTAAGGAGCAGATTAATAAAAATGTCGGAATTACATTTATTACAAATGTGTAATCCAAAATTTCAAAACCACTAGTGCATCTAAGTCCATTACTGACATACTATAAATACAGAAGTTCATCGAACGTTTGCAATAAGAAAAAAGACTGCCTATTTGTCTTATTTTATTATTATTATTATTATTTTAATTTTAGACTAATGAACTGAATTCTTAGACTAAAAAAAAGACATTGAGCACTAGCAACACAGGCTATCGGCTCTTGTCTTGTTTTATTTTGTGTATTTATTGTGTTTTGTTCCGTACTGCTGAAATAAGCCGTCTGTAGAATTCTCTGAAAAAATTATTACTGAGTAAACAAAACAACTTGAACAAAAAAAGACAAATTCAAAGAATAGTAGTCAGTTAAAAATACAACAAAATACACTTTGAATATGAGCTCAACTACTTTTTTGGCCAAGATCGCGGAATTAGACAGTTGTTCTCGCAATCTTGAACTTAGCAGCAACGATAAAACATGAAAATATTTTTTAATCTTGCCTTAATCGTCTACTAATGGCGACAGAAGTTCTGCTCATAGTTAACATAGATTTATCCTAAAATACAATCCAATGAAAGATCTCTAGGGAGGAATAAAATAGTTTTAAGGACAGTGAAAATAATATACAAGGTAAATACAAGATTTCATGTCCACGTACTCCATGCCGGAAATTGATGAATAACCTCGTACGGTAAAAATTAGTAAATTTTATGGAAAACAAACCTTGAAATAAAATTAAAAATGTAGTAAAAGAATCGATTGAAAAAAGCAAAAATTATCATATGGTTTACCAAAATTAATTTCGCTTTTATTTTTCGGTTATATACAAAAAATTTAATTTAGTTAACTCAAATCTTCAGACGTAAATCCTTATGCAATGTACAGAAAGACTCTCCGACTTGTAACGTTAGTTGCTTCAAAACGTTTCAAACGACGGGACGGTTAGGTTAAAAATATAAAAAACGTTCTCGATGCTGGCAAGAAAATCTAGCGATAGTTAGCCCACAGTACTTTACAATTGGTAGGTGAAGCAGGTCTATACATGTCCTGACGAGGTGCAATCGGCTCTGTCATGGCATGTAGAATCCTGTTAAAGCCAGAACCATTGTAACAGGGAGCAGATAGATTATGACCTGCCCAACAAAACCCATCACCACAATTACTTGCATAAGAGCCATTATATATCCTTTCAGATTTTAGCAGGCAGGATGATTCCATTGCTTGCGGAAGCAACGGTTGTGTCCACATCGGCCGATAGAAGTAACTTGAATTGTCACCGCAATCGAAACGGAAATTACATGGTGTCGCAAATGTACATTCCGCTGGCACTTCGCACACAATCCGAGACATATTGAAGGATTTGAATATAATTAGCTTTTTATGTCGAAATGGTTGTTGTTGCTTTTTTTTTTGAAGAAAGTGTTCTTTTTTATTCCAAGTTATATTTCTCTCTTGATAAAATTTTGATCACCGCAACCACTACGTGGAAAGAACATTGTATAAATATAAGATTATTAAAACTTTTCGGAAAAGATAAATTTTATTACATTTTTTAACTTATGAATCTTTGAGACTTCCTTTAGCTTACATGAAAATTTCTAAATTTATTAAAATTCTTTTTCCCGTTTTTCTATCTGAATATATTAGAAATTTATTGCAAACTACTTTTTATGATAGAAAAGTCAATGATAATGCCTTCAACCGGTAATTTTTTTTTAAATGTGCTAAACAATAAAAAAAATATATCAAACGCTCAACAGTAGTATTTAAGAATATACGGACTTTTATTTTTAAAAATATAATTTTCAATACATATCATGTTAATAATGCGAACATTTAATTTAATGTTTATGTTTATGTTTGTGTTTATCACTACGGTGATTACTCGAGTATGAGTCGCGTTCATCACGTTTAGCACTACGTAAATAATTAGGTGAAGATGATCTAAAATAAATTATTTATTAATGTGTAAGGTGAGAAAGAAAACATAATTTAGTAGAAAATTATATATTCATCGCTAATACATTATGAGTTTAATTTTAATGCATTTTTTTTTTGTTCTTTATTTTAATACCACCAATCCATCAGTGGATATTCCTCCGGGTTGGGATAGACAATAAAAGGCGACACGTTCAATAATTTTCTGCATATAACCACATATTTTTACGAAAAACACATCACAACAGCCACATACACATGTTTCGCATTTGACATGCTGAATTGATTCGATTCGTCTGTTCAAGGGTTGAAAATTTCATCCAAACTTTTAAGGTTAAGTTTGCAAAATAAATCGTATGAGAAGTAGCCTTTTTTTAATCTTGCAAATGTGTAACGCCATATAATCTTCACTTTATCTTGTTAAAAATATTTTGCGATTGTTCACAGTACACTTGCTGAACTTGCTTAATAATTAATCGGTCAACAATGCTCGGAAATAAATAAAAAGAACAACAAGTATAAAAATCATATTCGACTGCACCCATCGCAGTCATTCTGCAGAAATTTAAAAAAAAAAAAATTTAATTTTCCGTACTATACAGCGGGAAAAAACACAAATATTTTATATTTTTGAAAATGGAGGTTGCCTTAAGTGAATTTGGATTTTGTGTGACTTGGGCGAATTTCAAATCCAATCTGTTTGCAGCAGTTACTGTTAAATTTGAAGCAGATAGCTTCCTTCTTGCAAAATGTTTCTACAGATGGACGCACGGTCTTGTTTACAAGGGTTTAGAATTTCATGCTGATCCGAAATATATACACGTCATCCATGAAGCCACCTTGTGGATGTTGCAAGCCTTTTGACAAACTCAATATGCTTTTATACCACAAGTGATGTAGGATGTAAACCCAATTTACAATATTCGACTTATTCATCCACGTCTCTTTTAATAGTGATCTCTTTTGCCGTTGTAGACATTGACTTTTTGGTTCGAGTCATATGTTGTCACCTACCGCTTGAAAGATTGTTTTTATCCCCATTCATCATCTCCAACCGGACCTCCGAAATAGTAGGTCGTCGATGTTTTTTGTCTATTGTGAGTAAAATTGACGCAACAGCTTCGTCATAGGCAAAAGTTTCGTGCAGACTATTGAATACATTGCGTTTTGATATTCAGAGGATTTTAACTATTCCTTGAAAATTTATTTTCCGTTTATCAAGATTTTGATGATTTCTTTGACTTTAACATAAGCAAATTGCAAATTATTTCCGAAGGAGAATTGTTATTGTAATACTTTCCATGCCCAGCTATATCCACATTCGAAACTCAGATTTGCCCATTATTTCGAATATAAAAAAAGAAAGTAAAAACAGTCTGATGAGTCACGACGTACTCACATCACCCTACAGTTATTCATGTGACGATTATTCAAAGTAAGGCTTTATGTGAGAAGTATACGAATAAGTGCTCCGATCCAAATCATCGGAATCTTTTCAAAAGCTCTTCATTAAAATTTCTCAAAAACTACGGCCTGAGTATAAGAAAACTGGACGGGCAGGCAAGCTCAGAGAATTTCTGACCGATTTTTTTCTATCCCTTTTGACTATAGCAAACGATTCGGGTAAAACCCGAGTGCAGACCTTTTTTTATAATTTCAGCGATAAAGCTGTAGCACTTCTCGAGAATAACAAGTTTCAGAAGCTTAGATTTAGCGGAGAACGTTTTTTTTTACTAACCTTCGTGAACGCGATGATGACGATAGCGGACTGTCGTAACGCGATGATTTTGATATGTACGGTGTTCTTTCAAGTGGGTGTGGTGGTGAAACTGAAAGACTTCTTGATTTATGACGCTTGCCATATTTGCTGCTACTGCCTCGACTACTAGAGGCTGGAGATATTTCTTTACGGTTTGCTGATGCCACAGGCGAACGTGATCGCTTGCGACTGCTACGTGTTGGACTAGAACGAGCGCTAGTGTGAGGAGACGATGACCGTCTATGATGCCGTGTCCGTTTTACACTGTCGGGGCTTTCACTGCCTTTTGTATCTTTCTGCTTTAAACAACTCAGAGGTGAAAGCGTTTCTCGACGCGTGTCCTAACGAAAATGTTAATAACAGCATAATAGAATAATAGTAAAGGCATACGGTATGCGTGAAGCGTATACCTTTTTCATTAATTTGTTGCGATAAGATTCAACTTGCTCAGCTATTGTCCAGCTAGATTTTGATTCTCTTTGACCAGATTCCAATTCATCTTGGTATTGCATTGTTTTCAATTCAATTTCTCGTAATTTTTTACGTTTCAATTCATCGTAATTAAGACCTTTTTCATGTTCGTCGTCGTCGTTATTGTCATCCCCACTAGAGCTATCATAAAATTTTGGTGGTTCTGGAGCATCCAATGTATCCCATTTGCTTGTAGTTACGGCTTGGGCTTCGACCTGCTCGGGGTCAATAGTTTCCCATTTTGATGGTATAAAAGCGCCGCTTTTAGAGCCAGCTTTAAGTAAACCTTCGGAAGTTTCGGCGGATATTTTCTCCATAGCTATAGGTATTCCATCGATGTCTTCATCCACTAGCAAGCAAAATCAGTTTTTATAAAATTTACATTGAAGAAAAAATTGACGTTACAACGTACACGGTACACCATCAATGTCATCATTATAGTCTGCATCTTGACTAACGTCCTGGCTTCGGTTAATCGGAGTCTTATTGTGTTGCGTCTCTGGTAAGCCACGCATTAGGACTCCTTTGAGAAGGGCAGCACCATCTAAGGGAACTCCATCCAAGTCTTCGTCTTCTTTCTCATCGGCCGATAGTGGAGCTCCGTCTATATCCTCTACTTCCTTTACTTCTTCAAGTGGAGGAGACGCTGGCTGATTCTGAAGATCGTATGTTACAAGATTTCTTTTTGACCCTGCACTAAGATCCTAAATACCTGTTGTTTGCCTAAGAAAACTGAACGCAATTGACTTAAGAACTCCTTCGAGTACACCGCCCAATCGTCCCAAGCTCGCAAAACATTTAAAACACGTGACTTGAAACCTTCTGCTTTTAAACGGCTTTCTATAGCATTGTAAAAGCTATGTAGGTTTTCAAATATTTCTAACAAATGCCGTTCAACTCTAAAAATAAAGAAAAGGCTAACGTTTTGGAGCATAATAACTCAGAAAGAGAAGCTTACGATTTTCGAAAGAAGGAGGCATTAGACACCTTGACAGTGCAATTGTGCAATATGTCGGACACCAAATATAAACGAGCAATTTTTTTCGAAGCCAATGTGGATGGATTGCCTAACGACTCAGCAACACATTCGCATATCTCATCAGCCGCATCAGCGTGCTCTATGCAAAATATCATCGCATCTCCAATTTTAGACCGCTCAGGTGTTAAATGTCGTATAAGATCTTCTAAACGATCACGTTGCCTACAAATACCGTATTATATATATATTATGAATTGCGGATTTTGCATCGAATTCATTACTTACGCGGTTGACAATGCTCCTTTATGGACCTCAGGGGCATCAGGATCAACGACTAGTTCATCTGACATTCCTTGCGTGTAAAAGTTAGCAATTGGAGGGCGCCAGATGGGACCACTTTTAAACATGCGAAATTCTTTTTCATTCCATTCATTTGGAGAATCACCTTGCAACAACGAAAACAATTTCCAACGGTAGTAGATGTGAGCCGGACTTTCATTATCGAAAAGAAATGAAAACATAGGGTTTTCTATTTCGCGATTCATAATTAAAGCCTCAAACATGGGACCTTCACGAATAACAAACTCGATCATGCGGTGTATGACATGTAAAACAGTCCTGAAATTAACTTATGTAATTAAGAATAAAAATAATTATTTAGACTTACTTTTCAGTTGGTACTATCACTTTAACCACGGCTTTCTTTAAAATCTATTATAAAAAAATATTTCAAAAAACTTGGATATCTAATAATTATTTTCATTTCTCAGATAATCTTTTACGTACCCTTTCCATGTTCTCTTTTTCTTCATCACTAGTATATTCTTTATAATTCTTCTTGGGTACGTTCGCTGCTTCGCTAGGTGGAGCTTGAGCATTGAAAGGCAAACCTGACGGTGGCGGAGGCATTGTTAGCTCTAATAAAGGTGGAGGAATAAAAATTGGTTGATTCATAATGGGCACCGCTTTGCCCCAACCCAGTCTCATTTCATAACCCATAATGTAACGACCATTTAAAGTTTTTAAAGCCCGTTCAGCATCTCTGCGACTCATATAAGCCACAAAACCACAATTACGGCCTCTTTGCTTTTCCTCCTCCGAACGTGGCCACATAATTTTTATACTTGCAAGCGGTCCATAACGTCCAAAAATTTCCATAAGTTGTTGCTCGGAAATCTACGAAATAAATAAGCCAATTATGCATTTAAAATTTTATTCATAATTCACGTACTTAGCCACCTTACCTTTGGTGAAAGATTACCCAAATACAAATTTGTGGTATTTGGATCACCTGTGTCAAATGAACCGGTATTAGTTTCCCGAACTTCTGAGGCATGCGAATGATGCTCCGGAGTGTGAGGAACAGCACTTGATTGAGTCATTATATGTTTATATTTATGACGTTCCTCTCGCTCTTCTTGAATTCTAACAAAAGACGTAAGACAATTTTAGCTCATAAATATAAAATAAAACTTACTGTCTCAGCTCTTCTTTAAATAGTTCCAAATTGCTTTTTTTTTTTTCTTGATTTTTCTTTTTCAAGGGCAACACATCCTTTTTTAAATCGGAAGCCAACATTTTAGCATATTCTTGAGCTTTATCGGTAGCGGATTTGTCATCAACCAATTTGGAAGACGGTTTGTATACCTTGCCTTTTTCGCGATTGTCTTCCTCTACGAATAATTTTAGATTATGTTCAATGTCTTTAAGTATTGTTTTCAAATTGAAACCTACTTCTGGAACCCGCATCATAAGTACCAGCCTTAATCCAAATTTTTGCCGATGGGTTAGGGGTTTGTTGAAATGTTTCCACAAATTCTTGGAAGGCCTAAAAATACGCTCTTTCAGAATTGTTTTTCTTTGCAAACAACTTAATAACTCACATGCGCTGCGGCGGCTTCATCTTCTTTCTTCTTTTGCTCTTCCAGTTCTTTTTTCGACAGCTGGCGTTTGCCCATCGTGCCGACTGTAAAAGCTTCCAATTTTTTTTCGCTTATACGCTGTGAATATATGTCTTATTTAGATATTATGAATTCAAATTCATTGAAATTTTTACCTTCATTTTATATTATTTGCTTATCTTATTAAAATTTCCTATTCACTGAATCGGTTTCTTCTTCTTCTTTTCATGTCAATTTATTTTGAATTACCTATCCAGGAGACTACGTAAAACAGCTGATTTATGCGGAAAAGATTTTTTTGCATTTTTAAATTCATTGCTTTCCCGACAAAAAGAAGCCTGTCTCATTCCAATAGTCTCTTTTAACGCAAAGGTGTTACAAAGCCCCTCAACGGGCATGTGTGATATTCTGAGAAAAAATTAAATTATTAAAACGGTGTTAAAAAAACACTATATATGTAAAGCCTCTTCTGTGTACTTGTTTGGAAAGCTGGTACAGTCTTCTTTGAATATTTTTTTGACACATTAAATATCGAATCGAAGTAATTCTTTCTGGGAAATCAGTTATAAGTGGCCAATTTACATTGAATAAGAAACCCTGAGACGTTTTTGCGAAGGGGATACTAACACGCAAAACCAACTAATAAATACTATAAAAAATTTCTTTAAATTCGGTTTTCTTGTTTGTTATATTACTAAATGCGTACACGCCTTCTGATCATCTCTTCGTTTGAAAAAAGCAATTACATGGCAATACCGTGATGAAAAAACGACAAGCGTTTGGCAGCGAGTCTTGCCGCATCGATCTGAACAAGGGTAATCAGAACGCGCTGTGTCTGGTAAGTATGCTGAATGCGACAGAGCTTCCCATTCGAGCAGCAGTGTATTCTTGACAACTCCTGCAATATGTAGTCGAGCGTTGTCATGCAAGAGTAAGACTTTTGAAACGGCGTTTTCAGCTAATTCTTATGGTAAGCATTTTCCCTGTTTTTGATCTTTCTCAACGCATGTCAACGGCCACAAACAGCTAATTCACCAACAGTTAAGTTGTTCAAAGTTTGAGGTGGAGTTGAAGTGGTTTCGGAGTTTGAGGTGAGGTTTTTACCAACAAGTCTTTCAATTCGTTGCCTTCGAAATTTTTTGGGTGCTCCAAGCCGTTCTTTATCATTTACCTCAAAATCACCACTCTTAAAGGGATGAAACCAAAACCGTCAATTGGGATATATTGGGGCAGCATTATCAGAAGGTTCAGAAAGTGTCCGATGGGCTTCGCCAGCATATATCTTCAAATCAAGCAACAAAACTTGAAAGTATCGAAAACGTAATTTTGAGCGTTCCTTGATTAGTAATCTGCAAACACTGAATAGCTCAATACTACTAAATGAAAAACTGTTGTTTTATGTAGAGAAATGTCGAAATCATCGAATTTGATCGTTGGGTATGTTAACCAATAAATATCGCTGATCAAAATAAATGCAAGCGCCTGATATATATCAACAGACGTCTTTATTTATACTTAAAAATCTTATGATATTTCCCACAAATTACAAAAGTGGTTTACAAAATTATCCTTTCGAACCTTTTGAAATAATTAAGCCATGACAAAGCGGACATGTGTTATGTCTGCTTATTTCCATTAGTGAGGCGCAATGATTGCATATATTACAAATCCAAATATTAGCAGCAGGTTGGGTTATAGGCTTGCCAGAAGAAATGCACGGGGGATAACGCACTCCACAATTGATACAGGACGGTAAGCTAGAAAGATCGTCGCAAAAAAAGTCATTTATTAGGGAAATCAAGAGTAAAACATAATAGGCATTTTTCCACTAATGCCTGGAAGCAGCTGGTTTACACCTCCAATCTACGAAAGAAATACGGGCAAATAACAAACGTAAAACGTACTTGAGATTCAATATAAGCGAAAACTCCCTTATAGAAAAAATTCATTAAATCTCATTTTTGATGATTTTCTTATAGAAAAGCATTTATATCGATATATGACATAATTAACAAACCGCTTACCGAAATTGAGTTTAATCGTTCTTTTATGACGCAATCGTACAAACATTAACACGTTGATTTTCACACGTTTGGCTGGGTTTGATGATAACTTAGTTTTCAAAACGGTAATGTTAAAAAGGTTTAAAAGGTTTTCGTTAATAAGACTGAATGAACCGTTTTCTAAGTACGGACTCGAAGGGCCTGCTTTACTGAGTATTTAAAATTCAGAATAAAGAAAAAACGTACCAGTCGGGAACTATTGCTTCACAAACATAACATGTTATAAAATCTACTTTATCATCGATTGGCTCATTTTTGGCAAAAATATTTACGGCTAGTTCTTCATATTCCCTTTTACTTCGCTCTGGTAAGTAGTCCAAAGATTCTAGTTTAATGAAGGCTTTCGAGCAAGTACTAAACGATCGATCTGCACAGCTCGACAACGCCAGAACACAATAAATATCTTCGACATTTAGAACATCTTCATATTCTCGCAACCTTAAGGAGGTTATAACAGCGCTATGAACGATTCCAAAACGAAGCTGCCTTTGCGCTATTAGAAAGAAATGATATGCTTCTGCACAATGCCATATACGTTCTATAGTTGATGCCTCTTCGGGGCTAATACTGTTCATTAAAGCAGCTCGATCCATATTATGCACTGAAGGGTCTTGCGAGAATTGAAGCGCTGCGTTTTTTAAATGCTGTTCAGCTAAAAGTCCAGCTAAAATGTATACTTTTTTAATACGTAACAAATTCGAATTCTTCTCAATTTCTCGTTCTGCCAGTTTGGTTATAAGGCGTGCTGCATCCAAGTAATACCCTGCCTTTTTTTGCAATTCAATGGCTTCTGGAAGTCGGCCATTTTTTAAAAGTTCGCCGGCGTGCTTACAAAGCAAAGTATTGACCTGTGGCATTTCAAATTTTTGTGCTAATTCTACTGCTTGCCCCCACTGCCTTAAATTAACGCAAATGTTAACAGCTAACTTCGGGTCCCCCAATTTTAAATAAGCATTCACCGCCTCCGAACACATGCCTGTCGTTGAAAATTTCGCTTTTAGACTCAAATCAACAAGGAAGCACAAGCAACATTTTTCTTACCTACTGAGGCTAACATTTCACCTAATTTTTCTAAAAGAGGACTTTTCTCAGGCAATTTATCAATGCACTTTTCCAGTTCCTCAAATTGTTCCATGTGATACAATGAGTCCATTAAACCCTCAATAGAGTGCGACTTGTCGTAATAATCTCTGGCACTCTCCCTAAAAAAAAAAAAAAACTAAAAGTAATCGTCGTTCTTATAAAATATTTATAGAGTGCTTACCAAGATTGTAGATTAGCGAAGTGATGACCAATTTCGCGCCAAGCAATTTCTATTTGTTGGTCAGATACACTCGAACCCATGCGATATAATTGTACCACACGAAACCAATCGCATAAAGTGACACGAAGGTTTATAGCTAAATCTCGTCTATCTCCGTCTATGTACAGTTTCTCAGCCTCCTCGAATTCACCGTAGAAAGCGGCTACTTCGGCCTTTTGCAACATTGACGAAGGTATATTTCGCAATCTCTTAACCAATTGTATTCCTTGATAATTGGCACAACGTACAAAAGCATTTTCTGCCACATCAAGTTCCAGTTTCTTCAAAGCAGATTCTGCCAACAGTCTCCAGAGACGTGGATGCGGATTATCTTCAATGAATTGCTTGGCATCTTCCAAGCCAACTCTTGCATGTTGCAAGAGTTCGTCAGTATCGCGTAATGATTTTATTCTCAACTGCAGAATGTGACTCAGTGAATTTTGAACTTCTTCGCCGCTTATTATATCATCCAGTAAAACGCTGGTTATTTCAAGATCTTCAAATCCACCAATGTAGCCGGAGCAAATGATTGGTTCTTCCGGATCATTACCACGAAATATATACATGCGTGTTTTTTCCATAAGAGCCAAAAGCAAAGGATTATCTTTTGCCCAACAGATTGCCCAAACATCTTTACGTTCGACGCGACTAAAATTTAACTGAGTTTCCCGGTTATCGCCCAAATCTAAAAGCGTCATTACGCCAGCCTGGTCTATTAGAGCGGCGCGTCTGAAAGAAATTAAAATGTATTAAAACCGTTCTTAAAATTATCTGAAACATTAATACTAACGTAGAATTACAATTGATCGCCATTTTGTGCACATGAACACCGCATTCATGACGAGTTCTAAGAATCGTGTTAGGAAGAAGGTACTCGTTGATAATGCCTGATTGTCTAGCAACCAAAAAGACTTTTTCTGACATCGCTAACGAACAGATAGAATCTAAATTCTCGCGTCTGCTCTCCCGCCGGTCGTTGCTGCCCACTAAGTCCTTACTATTATCTCCATCAGTTGATAAATCATCAATATGAAAACGTTTCTCTTTACGAGCTTTTACATTGTGTAGCTGCGAAGCGCTCTGAAATAATTCAATGAATAATTGAATTAATTGTTAAAATTAAAACCTTACTTTAGGAGTATGATAATGCCACAAAAGAATTTCATCGGATGAGGCTATAGCCACAAAACTTGCATTGATACCAATAAAATTAGGAGCAATTTCTGTGTACTTAGCTTTAAACAGAAGAAGACTTAGGAACACTTCTCTATAATGCGCTTAGGATTATATTCTAACTTACAATCTACAGTTGTTCCTATAGAATTACACAGCAATAGCTGATACAATTTATCATCATGACTTATTCTCTCCTTATGCTCAAGAGAGCTTAAAGCTAAATCTTTTAAATTACTGTTAATGCATTCAATCGATATGACACAGTGGTCATTGCATGCAGCCATTCCCATGCAATGCTCAACTTCTTTAAGAAAACTCTGAAATGAAATAAGGTAAAAAATGTAAATTTACTTTCCAATTACAGTCCAGTTATTTCCAATTATGCTGCTAACTTGATTGGTTAATGTATTCCAAAATGTAACAACCGTCATGCTACTCTTGTTAACATTGTTTTGATTGTTGCTTATAAAGACGACGGTCTTTTCAAAATAACACCAAATATACTCAGGTCTTATGTTAGCAAAATATATGAAAGAGTCTACTGCCATAGCAACCCGTAGCGATTTACCCTCCCAAGAAACTGAGGCTATATTAGTACCGGGAACTTTTAAGACGCGACATAAACGCCCCCACGGAGTATAAAAGCACACTTGATTAGTATCTTTAAAATTATATGCTTCCATTAAAGTTCCACTGACAGCCAGAACAGTTCCATCATGATTCCATTTAGCATCAGTTATACGCATTTGACAATCAACAATGGCTGGAGCTAAAAAAATTATTAAAAACGCTTAAAATTTTTAAACCGCTGGTTTTGTGCAAAATAATTTCAACTCACATTCGTCACTTTCATTAGCCATTATTTGAACTTTTCCTGTTTCGTAACATAATGCTAAAACAGGTTGATTTTTTGAACATTTCCCACTAAACCAACATATTGCCGACACCCGTGTTTGGCGATGATTGCTCAAATTTACACATTGTATATTCAATTTTATCTAATTGAAATGAAAAGAAAACAAATCGCAAGGGGATGAGTTAAACCCACAAAAATCTTAGCTGCTCTCTCCACTTCAAGAAACTTATCTTCTTAAATCGCTATTACATTGAATTTGAAGATAGATATGAAAATGATCTGAGTTGGATTGTTTGCAACGTTTCATTGGCTGTTATGACAAATGGTTTTGTGGGCTGATCAGGGCGATTTCTAAACATGGTCTACAATCAGCAGTGAAAATGTACGCGCCAAGTTACAGTTTCCTATCTTTATTTTTCGGTTATAAAAGCGGCAATAAAAAGAAACGGCAGAACGCAAATCTTTTAAGTGGTTCGAGCAGAATTTTCGTCCTATCTGTAGCCAAAAGTATTGTATAATGCAACCTTTGTCGATCGCGCGACCTGTGGAAGGTGCTTTCAAATACGAAGTTAAATAAAGTTTAACGCGACCTCATAGCGAATTAGTAAAGTTGAATAACATAACAATTTCAAACAAATAAAAACGTTATAGCGGGCCAAGGCCCACAATTAACATCCCGAAAATTCGAAGTTACCACTTATGAGAGATATCGATCTTAGAATCTAGCCAAGGCAAGGTAAAACTTGCCCCGATCAAGTAACTGACACAAGCACTTCCAACAAAATAATTTGAAATTTTCATTCGGTTTAAGATATGCACGGATATAAATATAAATGTATATTAAATTTGCAACAGGCAGAAGGAGTTGAGATAGACCCGCGTCTTATCATATCGACCCAGTTGTAATCATTTTCTGAATGAATACAAGTTTGTTTGTTCGTCTTTCCGCCTGTCTCATGTCTTTTCATTCAATTTACAGATCGTAACTTTTGATATATTTTAAAGAAATTTGGTATACTGACCTTGGCTCAAAGGCAAACAATAATGAAAATGGTTTGGTTCGGGGCACTTTTCAGACCATAAAACGTCTTATAATAAGGGTCGTTATATGAATACTTACTCTAATCACTATAGTGTTTTTATTTGTTTCTCCTTATGAGTATAATATCCTTTCACGTTCGCATCAAATTCAATCAAAATAATTTCAAATGTTTAACGACCTTGAAATGTGGTAAGGTATTACATATGTACTTCAAAGTTCCATCACCCTTTGGAAAGTGTTATGTATCATTTTTCGATTTATTTAATGTTTATTTACCGCAAAATTTCCTTGACTATCATATAAATGACATTCACCGTTGGCTAAACTGAAAAGTAATAAACGGTTATCTGGACTCCATTGCACCCCAGTTAAATGAACATTTTTCAGTTCTTTCCCCCAAATTCGATTACCATCCACAGATCCTAAGGACAAAATCATTTCAACTATAATCAAAAGTTGAATTGGGATTACTTACCTACTATAATTGCTCCATCTTCATACGCTATACATATTTTATTGCCATCAGAAGTCCAATGCATACCAGTTACTGTAGATTTCTTTCGATCGTTAGTCATCTCTTCATACCATGAGCCTTTATATAGCATCCACACCATAATTACACCGTCCACATCCGATGATGTTAACTTCAGTTGAGCTTCATTCCAAACTACTAGCTTTATATCATTTTTATGGCCGTCTAAGGTTTGATTTAGTGATAGATTCGAAACTGCTGCTAAGCCTCCTTTATTTTGTCCGTTCGCTGTTTGTTTCAAAGTCTCGTTCACAACATTTTAACGATTAATATGCTTCGTTTTAAATACCTTGCTCTAATTTTAAAACTTTTAATAAACCTTCTGTCCCAGCCACAGCTATGTGGCCCTCCTCCTTATTCCAGGCCACATAATTTAGTTTCACATTATTAGGTATAGCAATCTTTAAATTGTAAAAGGATTGTAAATGCGTTCATTTAAAAATGTATTTTTAAGATATGAAATAAATAGAAACCTTTTTGCTTAGATAAACAAACATTGTTAAAATATATATATTTCTTTTTTCGCTGAAAAGATTCACACAAGAAAGAAAATCCTCGAATTTTATGATCTTATTTACTTAAAAGAAAAAAAACTTGTTTCCATGGTTTTGGTGTTGTTTAGCCTTTATGAACAATTGGTCAAGAGCTGTTACAACTGCTCGCACTCTCTCTCTCTATCTCTCTTTTTTTCTTTCTTTCTCTCTATGTAAGTTGGTTGACTATAACTCTTTTACTGAATATATGATTTTCACCATCGTCAAAGTTAAGTAAATCAAGTTTTAAGCTCTTTGCACAACCTTTCTATTCAACGACAAATAGAAAGAGAGAAAAGAAACTTATTGTTAAGAGAACAGATTGCCTTAAGACATTCACGTAAAGAATCAAAGTTTATAAAGAACCTTACATGTTCTACACATAAAAGAAAAAAATTTTATTTCATGAAGTGCAAAAAAAATGCTGATAAAACACAGATACAAGAATATATAAACTCCGATACTACTATTGTTTGTTTATCCCATCTTGCTGTTCAAGTCTTTCTCTTTGTAAGATTTTTGTTCTTCTCAACGAAGGATAAACGGCACATTCGCTACGTGCAAAAGGTTTGCACAAACCAGAAGGAATCGTCAGAGACTTCGGAAAATGTATATATTTTTGATCAGTATCAAATTCTAAATCGACTTAAGCATGTCTGTCTGTCCGTCTGTGTAATCTCTGTTGTAAACATTCTCCTGAGCTATCGACATCAAATTGACACAAACATTGCAGATTCTTGCACGCAGATTGGTGTTAAAAATGTGCCAAATCGATCGAAACATACCTGCACTGAACTACATAAAGTAAGAGCACCTCTGTTTTTCAAAAGGAATCAAAAATTGGTTTTTTGCCCATTACTCACAAACTATAGCGCATAAATTCTGTGGGTGATGCTGTAGTACATATATGGGAAAAATTCACCACACCTACGCAATATTATAGCACAAAAAAATATAATCTTTTTTCTAAATCCTTACAACGCGCGGAATCAAGCTTCAGAAACCCGATAAGGTATATAAATTTCGGGCAAATCACAGATTCAAAGTACGCCTAAGTATGTCTGTCCTCCCGGCCATCCATTTGTCTCATTAACTACACCAGATAAATCTACAAAAATCTGACCGCATATTCTATAGGCGATGCTATAGTACCCCTACATAATTTTATAGTGTCACTATTGCGCTTTTTTCAAAACTTTTGTAAAGCACACAAGTAAGCTTCAAAAACCTCACAAAGGGTATAAATTTTCGGGCAGTTTCGGAATACTTTTAGGCATGTCCGTCTATTCAACTGTCTGTTCGTCCATCTGCGCAACTGCGTAGTATCTGTTCTCCCGTTCGCAAAAGAGATCGGCTACAAACTTGCACAAAGAATTGGAAATGGCCCAAACTTTTGAAAGAACACGTCTACAGCGGCCACATGCCTGTACGACAAGAATGTTTATTTTGAAAATAGAAACAATCGGCTGCGCCCGCTCCATATTATATAGTATTGAAATTCTGTTCCTTTTTTTCTTTTGTCTTTTTTAGGATAACGGCGGTGGGTACGAAAGATTCGACCCCGACCGAATATAATTTTCTTCCTTGTTGCTCTTCACGAATTTACAACTGATCATATACTTATTTCTGCCGATATTTCTCAATTTTTTCATAAACCAAAACCCATTGACTTGTATCTCAATTTTGAAAAAATTAAGGTTACAGTCGCTATGATTACCCCGGCTTGGCCATGTTTATAAATCAACCCGTCAAATGAACGGACTCGCATTTGCTCCAAAGTCATAAAACCCTGCACGAAGAAAATCCCATACCACTTGAACAGGTCGATATAATTACGAAGTTTTGTATTTTGGGGATTTATTATTCATCAAAATATTATATTTTCGGGCTTTTTTTCGTAACTACCATTACCTTTTACCAGCTGCAACGTTTCACTCTTTTGCAAAAGAAGTGAGAACTTCGGTCAATTATAAAAATGTATTTGTGAAGGGAAACGGTGCGCATGTGGTGCAAAAAACTTGATGGTTTTCATTTTTACATTTATGTGGACTAACTTGTTTTTGTTTTCGAAAGCCTAGGCTGCAATTTAGACCTCCAAAATCAAAACAAATCGAACAACATTTTTCTATTCGTCAACCTTAAGCGATTAATTTAAATTTTTTTGATTTTTAAGTTCATTTGCGACATTTTTTGGTTTTTCGGCTTCTTCGGCTTTTTCTTTGCCCAATTGTTCGAGAACTTCTTTAAAAGGATCGACAAAGAGTTGAACTGTTTCTATAATAACACCCCCAATGGGAAGATCCTTGTTATCTACTTCAATCTATTCCATTTACTGTAAAGTCTAAAAGCCACCCATCAATTTACCGAGCACGATATGCTTACCATCTAAATGCGTCAAAAGGCAAGCCTTTATACGTAGACTATATATTTTTCGATTTAGAATTAGATACATTATGTATATAAAAATAAAATAATCCGCAAAAATAAAACAAACAAGAAAATGATATTCATCTGTGATCGAATCTTTCATATTCATCACGTCTATCCTAAAAACAAGTAGAAACATCATAGTGGATAAAGCGCACTATACGACCATTATTTATATAACAGTTTTTCAAAATAATGCGTTAAATACCATGTGGTCTAATCCAAACCATTTTCAATAGCATTCATTGTTGAGACCCAATACGTCAATGTACCAAGTTTCATCAAAATACCTCGAAAATTGCGAAAGTTGAACGCAACAGAATATATATTTAAAATATAATCGGTTCAGAAAATAATTCTGAAACGATAGCTACAATAAAAAGTGGATCTATCTCAAGTGCTTCTAGGTTATGCATACGTCCGCGCAAACTTAATATACCCTTGTACAACAAGTGACGTAAGATACAAAAACTACAATTCGAGCTTGACAAAGAATGCCTCGTTATCGATAAATACACTTTTATTTTTACAATTTTGCTTTATGAGGAGGTGTATTTCTCGATCTATCATTAGAGCTCAATTTGTGAATAGCAACTTTACGCGAATTTTTATATAAGATTCAAATTTGTACTCAATGATGCAATTACTGGTAAAGAAATAATTCGGCAAATGTGGGTTTTATAAGATCTTCGAATCAAATTTTAATAAGTCAAAATTTTTCAGGATTTATACAGCCGTAGGACACAAAAACATAACAAACTTTACTAGAAGCATAACATTTGTGAACTTAGAATTTAAAAATTTAAATATAATCGATTTTATACATTTACTTTGCTTATAATAAAAAGAAACGAGCGAACGAGTTTTTATTGGTTCATATACAAAACAGGTAAGAAAGTCATAATCATGTAACATTAAAGTTTGTCTTGGGTGTTCAACATTTCAAGCGAATATCTAAAATCATAAATTATTGCATGTTGGTCCAGTTGTGAGAACAACCATCAAACGTTTATATAAACTTAGTAAATATTCGAATAAATATTTTCTACCTGTTACAACTGAACAGTTACATTAATATTTGCTCTGGCTTTTCAATAATTATAATTTTTGATAGTTGTAAGCTAGTTAATGATGAAATTAATAGCGGAGTAGCAGTTGTTGTTTTCTGCGAATATGTGCGAGGTATGTCAGGTCTTTCCTTTGTTGTACTGATTTGTCTTGTTGAAAGCAAAAACAGATAAATTCAAGTTTCAATTTTCTTACTCAATATTTACGCACTCACCAATTTCAAGAAGAGACAAGCTTGTATAACTAAATGGAGTCAAAAGTTGTAATTGAAAAATAAATTGTAAAGCATTTAAAATCATTTTTAATTCTGCTCTAGCTTATTACTTATTTTGTACTGAATCCGAATTACTTATAATCTCCTTGGCTGTACGTAGATACAATTGTTTATAAACATTATGATTAATTTTTGTTATTATTATTAAAATATACTACTGCTATGGCTGATCAATAATTGAGAGCTGCCTCGTTTCGATTTTCGCCACTCATCCCATTCTTTTGGATGCATTTTCTTTTTATGCGCGTGCATGTTAGCGTTCGAGTTGAATGTTCTTGTGCAGAAGGGACATTTATATAATGTTTCACCCGTGTGCTGAGCCATATGTTCCTTTTTAGAAGAAGAAACAAAAGTTTAAAAGTAAGTAGAGATACCTTAAATATTCTCTCTCTCTCTCCTTCTCTTTTTTAAACCAACCTTCAGGGTTAACGCTTTTTTGAAAGTTTTCCCACATTGCTCGCAAGGAAACGTTTCATTTGAATGACTGTACCTTTTGTGACTAGCCAAAGCTACGCGACTCTTACATGATTTGCCACATTCCGTGCATTTGTATATTATTCCCTCTGGGTTATGATGTTTAAGGTGCAGTTTCAAATTTTCTTCGTCTTTAAGCCAACTCTCGCAATCCGGATAGGGGCACTTAACACGAGGCCCGCTGTCTTCGAAATGCAAACGTACATGCTTTTCAAAAGATCGTTTATCGCGTATTGCCTTTGCGCAGACATGACAAACATTTGTTTCTCTATTATGCCTCATGCTATTATGTATCGCTAAAAGGTATTCGCTAGCAAAACTTAAACAATAACAAGAGAAAATTAACGGATTTAATAATTATAAAGATAGGATAAAGTAATTCAACTTACGCCCTCTTTGTTGGACATTTGGTACAAAAAAAACTTCTTTCCTCTCGCGATATATGCGCCGGATGATGTAAATCTAGTAAATGTTTTGTAGCGAATCTTTGCGGGCATATTGCGCAGGCGTAAAGCTTTTGCTCCTCTGATGCATGGTAAGCTAAATTATGGGCTCGTAAACCTCTGTTACTGGAAAAGGTTTTTTGGCACTCGTGACATCTGAATATATTATCAGAGTTAGAGAAAGCCTCCTCTTATATATTTGTGAGTAAGCGAATACATACTTGAAGTGTTCTGGATTCTCATGCTTCAAAGCGTGCTGACTTAAATAGTAACGCTTAGACAATTTACGTTCACAACACATAACAAAAGGTTTCTGTTTAGGATGAATACTTCGAAAATGTTGTACAATATCGGAAAATTTTTGTCCCATAAAAACGCATAAACTGCATGCCATGGGAATATGCTTGTTTATCAAGTTCTCTATAAGTGTTTGATCTGTCTTAAGTTTGGTTGTTTTTGGTTTAGTTTCTGTCGAAGGCTTCTTGTTTCGTTTGAAAGACTTTCGGCTTCCTTTTTTTCTTGATAATCTATTGCTGCCTTTTAGCACTGCTAAACATTCTCCATCGGAAGATGAATCAGTTTCACCAGCGTTCAGTAAATTTAAGTCATTTGAAGCGTCACTTAGATCGTCTTTTGATTTCAATTCACAATCATCTAAAGGGTTCTTTTGCTCCTCTATGCTATTTGCGATGTTGGTTTCAAGGCAAGGTTTCTCTATTTCCATTACCTGTTCTTGCAGCTTATCGTCTATTTCCACTTTAATGTTTAATAACATTCCTTCAACATTGGCTGTGTTACTTTCTAAATGCAAGAGATAGCTGCTTTGGACATTTTGTACAGATTCAAAAAATCTATGAAAATCACATATTTTCAACCAACAGACTTCACATATTGCTGTAGATATAGTGTCATCTGGAAGAGGCTGAAATATTATAATGATCAATTTTTATATGATTTAATGTGCCGGTTGCAAGAAATTACTCTATGATAAAACATACCTTTAAACAAAGATGCTTCGTAACAATTTCAGCAATTTTTAAATGCTTGTTTCCCTCAGCAAAAATTGCCATTGTGTTTTGCGATTTTTCCAAACATATTCTACAAATCATTATTTGGTTTATTTTAGTTCTTTAATCACTTTACAAATTCTTTTCTTACAATATTCTATGTAGTAAATAAGTAAAAACCGATTTATCTAACCTTAGGCCCGAAGGGAACAAATTTCACATATAATATCTTCTCTTTTTTTTTGCTCTCAGCGAGCATGCATTGCGGACGGAACTTGAGTCAAGTTGAAATAAACTTTCATCAATGCTGGGTAATTGGGCAGACAAAATTAGTTCCTATTAATAAAAAAAATATTTGTTAAAAGTCTTATACTTTCTATTTAAATAACTATTTGGCACCACGAGATTTTCTATTTATTTAACTGCGCTTGCGTTTGCTTGTTTTCTATAATTTATTGATATATTTTACCACGAGATCCGACTAAATTGCAAATGATGGAATTATTTGTAAATTTTTGATTTTTTGCGGATTTATCTCAATTTTCATCAAAAGCATATTCCCTCCAATAATCATGCATGGATACAAGGACGATGAGCACGTAACTGAAAGTCGGCTTTCATTTTTGTATTTATTTGTTTAGCAAAAACAGCTGGAAACGAGAGCGAGAGTTACAATTTTCATACGTGATTACTCCCATAATTAGTCTAAAAGAATGAAGTTATTATTATTATTATTATTATTATAAATTTAGCCAGAGAATAAATTCTAAGACTAAAGTCTTAAAGCACTAGCATCTAGGGCTATCGGCTTTTTATTAAAAACTCTACCGCACTTGAGGTTTGAACCCACGACTATTGAAGTTGCTCGTCGAGACTCTTGCCTACTCGGCCACTCAGGCGGATGAGAGAATGAAGTTAACAAAGTACTAGTGTGAGAAATCAAGCTGGCACTTCTGTTAAAGTGTGAGAAATCGGTAAACCGGGGCGCAATCAAATGGTTGTTTATAAATTGACAAATGAGAAATCAATGAAAAAAAAGATAACAATACTTTTTCAATATGGAAAATATGATGTTCGAATTAATGAACGCATTTAAGTAGTCTAGGCAACATAGCTATTACATTCGATTTTAGTTGATTTTTTGTATTCCCATCACCATCCCCTTGCGTCAAAATAAGCAAAGTCTCAAAAAAATTGTGTCTCCAAGTTTTTCAACAATGGAATGAACAAGAATATGAACATATGGATCAACGAAAGAATATATAAAATATATATAAATCTGAAAATAATTACATCTACAATCTTATATACGATTTCCAATAATTCTAAGCGCACTGATTTAGCTAATTTTCAACCATACATAACCGAAAGATTTTAATTACCAAAAATGTAAGACCGCTTCTGTGATTCTTAAAATGGGACATTTTCTTTTTTCTCCTTTTTTGTTTCTATCGGAACAAAAGATTTCAACAAATTTTCTGGCAAATATGAAATGAAAGCATTGAAGATTAAATATATTCTTTCAGACACAAAGATTAAAGAACAAGATTGTGTTTTTTTTATTTATAATACAACCAATCTCTCAGCGAATTTCATCCCTAATGCCAAGCAAAAATTAGCAACCCTTTCATACAAACTTTTCATAAATGCTTAAATATACATGAATTACTTAGAAAACTTTCTTTTAAAAAGAACCAATTCAACATACCAAAAAAAAAAAAAAAAAAGAAAGAACCAATTAGTTATTTAATATTTGAGCGTATCGAAATTTGTAATAAACTACTTACCAGGTCTTCTTATTTCCTTTGCAATTTCTTGCAATAAATTTAAATATAATCTTTCAAAACATAATTATAGTTTTTGGCTCCAAAGCAGTCACAACATTCGTCGATTTTTGCGCTGAAATAATTAGTTTCTCAATGTCCGTCATGTTCATCCTTTAAGGTTTTGTTCAACTTTATCACCTCGGATGAATTCCCCGTTATATCTGGCGTACCTCAATGAAGTCACTTAGGTCCCATTTTATTTAGTTTATACATTAACGATCTTCCATCGGTGGTTAATTCCAGCCGGATCTTAAGGTGTGCGGATGATGTGAAACTGTTTTCCTCCTTCTCTGTTGAATCGCAATCACATCAGCTTCAAGGTGATTTGGATAATTTTGTTGCATGGTGCTCTGTGAATCTTCTGAAACTAAATATGAGTAAATGTAGGAAACTTTCTTTCTCAAGAAGAAAGTCATTCATTACTCAGTATTTCATAGATTCGCATAAGTTGGAGGACGTCGATTCGATTACAGATTTAGGCGTTCTATTTGACCATAGGTTACGTCTCAACTTGCATATTGAGCTCTCTAGGTCCGCGCTTGGTTTTATAAAGAGGTGATCCAAAGAGCTTGATGATCCTTACATTACCAAAAGGCTATACATATGTTTGGTTAGACATATACTTCAGAATGCCTCTGTTGTGTGATCTCCTTCATATAGGTGCTATGTAGATTTAATTGAATCTGTTCAAAAGCAATTCTTGCTGTTTGCCGTTAGGAATTTGTGTTGGGGCCCGATTGCCCCTCTTCCAGAAAATAGGTTGCTTCTGTTGTCCTTACCGTCTCTCGAGAAACGTAGATTTGTTCTTGGCTTTTTCTTCGTAATCAAAGTAGTAAATGGTGCTATTGACTCGCCTGCATTACTTGGTGAAATAAGCTTTAATGTCCCTAACCGCTTCTCTAGGCACTTTATCTTGGTTAAGCTCAGTCAATGTAAATATAATTATGAGCTGTTTAATCCGCTCAGAGTAGTTTGTAAGAACCTAAATGACGTCTATCACTTATTCTCCTTATCGGACTCTTTAAAGTTCATTAAAGCAACATTGCTTAATACGCGCGATTTACCTATGTCTTACTTAAACTAGCTTTTATCTTTAAAAGTCGTTACGATTCGAAAATGAATTCTTGTTAAGTATTATTGGTTGCCAGGCTTATGCATGTTTGCGATGGCTTAGGGCTTCAATCGGAATTTGGTCCTGTACCGGTTGTAAGTGTGGCTCTATGCTGGTTGTGTACATGCTTTTTTTCTTTTTTTTTTTCCTTCTTGTTTGTTTTATTGTACTTATACTAAGTTTTATTATTAATTTAATATAAGTTTTGCTTTAAGTACCAATTGAACTCGACTGTTATTTGTTTAGTTGAGTTCCATGTATAAGTAGAATTAAAATAAATAAATAAATAAATACCCACCACAATAGTGTGCGCATATATTTATTTTGTTTTTCTCTAAAATATACGTAACATCCAAAAGAAAGCTTCAGAGATCCTCTAAGGTACACATATTCTTGATCATCCTGAAATTCTGAGTTGATTTAGCCATGCCCGTTCGTCTGTGCGGGGTCTTCTGTTGGCAATCTCCTCATCGCAAAAATTAAGACGAATTTGGTAGAAACATTGGAACAGATCTGCGTTACATTGACTTGTCATTTAACAGATCTGCGATTCTGCACGCAGGTTGGTATCGAATGTGGGCCAAATCGGTCGAAGCAAAAACGCAAAGAGGAGCAAAAACTGAATGGAACTTCGCTTTTTTACACAAACATTTTTGGGTTCGGAAGTTATAACAGTTAGAAGGCTGAAATTTTCCACATTTGCTTTAAGTAGCACACTACTGCTTACGTGTCAAAATGGAAAACATCTGCCATGCTCAAACAAACTTATAAGTGATTAAATTGTGTTTATCCACTTTTTTGAGGTTTTATTCTTATATATCATAAGGCAAACAAGACGCAGTGTTTACAACCATTTTATACACTTCCTAAATGGAGATATATTATCTGCCTAAAAATGGGTTCATTTTAAAATTAATATGGTGGACCCCGCGATTAATTTTTTCTCAATAATGCCAGCACAGGGGTATCGAAGAAAAGAACTTGGAGAGTAGAATGCGAAAATCATAGTGGTGATATGTGACATTCGGTCAGGCCGAATATAACTTACTTTGTTTTTATACTCATTACTTCGATATGTGTATTAATTTATTCCTTTTTCTGATTAAATAAAGAATTGGACATGACCGTGCTCATTTTAATCTCATAGGGAGCACCGACATGCATTTAAAAGTTTGCATAAAAATAATCCCAATGCTCCCACAGAGCCCATAAAACCTTCTCTATAGACTTATATATCTTCGTTGGTAGTTCCAACGTACATTTCAATGCAAATAAAACTGAAAGTAAGTTTTTTCATTAATAAATTTCATTTATGTAACATAATCAAATTATCCAAATAAATTACTACTATTGTTATTGTTAATAAATAATTGAGAACTGCCGCGTTTTGATTTGCGCCATTCGTCCCATTCAACTGGATGCATTTTCTTTTTATGGGCGTGCATGTTGGCGTTCGAATTGAATGTTCTTGTACAAAAAGGGCATTTATATAGAGTTTCTCCCGTATGCTGGGCCATATGCTCCTTGAGGTGCAATAGATGAAAGAGAGAAGTAACAAAATATAAAAATTGTCAAGTATAATATTGAGTTTATACCTTCAATGTTATAGCTTTTTTAAATGTTTTGCCGCATTGATCACAGGGGAATATTTCATTTGAATGGCTATATAGTTTATGACTAGTCAAGGCTCTGCGATTTTTGCAAACTTTATCACATTGGGGACATTTATAAATTTTACCCTCAGGATTGTGACGATTGAGATGTTGCTTCAGATTTTCTTCATCTTTAAGCCAACTTTCGCAGTCCGGGTATGGACATTTAACACGTGGCCCACTATCCTCAAAATGTAGACGTACATGTTTTTCGAATGAGCGCTTACAACGTATCGACTTTGCGCATACGTGGCAGACATTGGCTTCTCTTTTATGTCTCATGTTGTTATGAATTTGAAGCAAGTATTCGCTAGCAAAGCTGAAAATTTTGAACACCATAAGTTCTTAAAGTACTATTTTAACTACTAATTGATTGAAAATTTACGCTTTTTTTGTTGGACACTTATCGCAAAAATACGATCTCTCTTCACGTGGGATATGTGAAGCTTTATGTAATTCCAACAGGTGTTTTGTTGCAAATCTTTGGTGGCATTCGTCGCACGCATAAAGCCTTTGCTCTTCAGGCGCATGATAAGCTAAAGTATGAACTCGTAAACCGCTATCATTAGAAAAGGTTTTTTGGCATTCGTGACATCTGCATTAAATTCAAATTCTGTTAAGAACTTCTATGCATATATATATATATATGAGGAAATGGTTATTTTAGGAGCAAAATAAATTTGACTACAGTCAGAGATGGAATAATTTTTAGTCTAAAGACTAGAACTGAAATGAGCATTTGTTTAAGGACAACTATACGCAGATGCAAGACGCAGAAGGGATCTTTAAATACTGGTTCATGTAGACTTACTTAAAATGATCCGGATTTTCATGTTTTAATGCATGCTGAGTTAGATAGCAACGTTTGCTAAATTTGCGCTCACAGCAGGTGACAAACGGCTTTTGTTTAGGATGAGATTTTCGAAAATGTTGAACTATATCAGAGAATACCTGGCCAACAAATATGCACAGACTGCAAACCATTGGTATGTGTTTTTTTATAAGAGCTTCAATGTGCGCAGTATCCTGTCTAACTCCACACTTTGTCGATTTAATCCCTTTACTGGATTTTGTAACTTGCCGATCGGGTTTCAGCTTTATCTTTCTCTTTGTAATTTTGTTTCTCTTTTTCAAAGCCGCTAGAAACTCTTCGTCAGATGAACTAAAAGCATTTTGGGCTTCATCCAGCGCATCCTCAATGGAAAACGATTCATCATCTTTTACTGGATCACTAAAATAAGCTGTCTCATTAATTTCAATTTCATCTAAAGGATTTTTTTGATTATTGGGTTCTTGTTCATTCTTTCGAACTAATGCAGATGTATTATCAAAATCAACTTCTATGATTTGTTCTTGTAATTGATCGTCCAATTCAACTTTGACATTAAGTACCTTCTCATCTACGTTGTCAACGTTACCGTCTTGCAATTTCAGCAAATTATAATTGTTCTGAGCGTATTCCACAGATTTGAAAAATTGATGAAATTCGAATATTTTAAGCCAACATTTTACACAAACGACTTTCGAGATAGTATCATCAAAAAGAGGCTGCAACAAACCAATTCTTTGTTATTTATTTACATTTTATCAAAGTTCGTTCAGCATACCCATGATGAGTAGAACTACTACTACTATATTACTATATACCTTAAATCCTAGATGTTTCTGTATAGTTTCCGCAATTTGCAAATGTTTATTTCCTTCACCAAATATGTCCATATTATCATGGGTTCTTTCAAAACAAACTCTACAGAACATTATTGTAATAAGTTTCTAAACCTTTTTTTAATTTAATTATTTCTTTATAAATTACTTTGTTTATGTTTTTCAAGCAAAAAGTAAAAAGTTACCTTTAACAGTTCACAATTTTCTGACTGTTCTTCTTCCAACTATAACTCATAATACGATGATAGCATAAAATTAGAATAGCTATGACAATATACATTTAACACCTGAAATTTTTTCGACTTGAATATGAATTTGCAGCACTGGTCTGAAAAAATTTAGGAATGTGTTTGTGCTTGGATTGATGCGTATTCACCTAAGAATTCCAGTCAGTTGTTGTTTGATAATCTTTTGAGTGTGCTTACCTGAGTGCTTTTAAGAAAATGCTAAAAGTATCAACTGTCAATTTGTACATCGTTTTGAAAGCCAGTATGTCCACACCAATTAAAGACGAGTTGGATCCCGTATATGGCAAGTTTGTATTATCATTTGCGACAGTGAAATTTTGGGGCGGTGAAATTGAAATGTTACTATACTAAATTCGCTAGCTATGAACATTTGGAACGGTCAAACACTGCAGTCACTGACGAAAAAAATCGGTAAAGTTCATCAACACAGAATTATGGTGAGAGAGATAAGACTGGTTATTAACATATCCAAAGGACGTGTTCGGTGAATCAGGATATGAGACCTGACCGCACTTGCTTAAAGTGGTCAAAGGATATTGCTATAAACAATAAATCAGAGCATTGGCATTGGTTAATTAGTAAAGGTGAAACTTGGATACACTAGTATACTTCAGAAACAAAAATTTCAGAAAAAAAATATACTACGAAGAGATAAGCGAATTTTCTGGAATTGCTACGATTATCTTCAAGAAGGAAATTCTGTTACAAGAATTCAGCATTACGTTGCAACCATTTGGTTGGTTTAACAAAAATTTCGGCTTGCGCTCCTTAATCGCAAGACATGTGACGGTTTTCTTTTGCTCCTTAAGCTAAAAATTGCGCTTGGAGGTCAGTGATTTTCATCAAATCTGTAGGTCATCCCTTCTTTTGCAGAAAAAAACTTCCAAACTGATATTTCGATTCATTGACGGAATAGAATCACCATTGCGAAAAAGGTACAGACGTATGTGTCAAAAAAAAAACAGGTTTTAAAGATAAAATAAATCTTTTCGTTTTTAAATCGTAAAGTTCGCAATAACTAATGGAAGAACATTAATAATAAAAGGTTTATTCGTAAGTCTTTCGAAATAAGCATGCTTCCAAAAGAGTATAAAGTAATAATTTCCATATATTATCAACGTCGACTTTAAACGGATTTCTAATAAAAATATCTCATATGCAGATTGGTTTATTCCGCATTTACGTTTAACTTCGATTCATTGATTTATTTCTTTTTGTTTTTTTACCTATCATCGGAAGACGAGGGTTATGTTTGATCAAAAGGTTTGGAACGGCCGGAAGGAAACTTCAGAGACTTTACAAAGTGTATATATTTTGGATCAACATCAAATTTTAAATCGACTTAAGAGTGTCCGTCTGTCCGGGGCAGAACGGTTGAAGAACTTGCCTACTTCGATCTAAAGCGATCTTTTTAAGTCTTTTTCAAGAACAGACCTACAGCAACGACACGCCTATGCGACAAAAACTTTTATTTTGAAAGTAGAAAAAATCAGCCGGCCCCACTTCCTATTGTAGAGCATAAAAATATACTTCTTTGACTTCTTTTTGTGTTTTTCATGATAACGGCGATGAGTACAAAAGATTCTGCCACGAACGAATATATTTTTCTTATTTGTTTTAAATTTATATTTCTAGTTTATCGCATTTTCATTCTTGGAAAATGCATATAACTCTATAAATAAATGAACGAAGGCGAATGCATTTCGTGCAGCTTTTACTTAATAATATCAATAACTATTTTCACCGATTGTCTTTAAATTAAAACAATATGTGATGCGAAATTGATCAAAATGATCTTCGCTACCTGCCATTTAATCTGAATTATTTGGTGTAGGTTGAGAGCATGTACAGAATATAGCTGAATCTCAATATCTTATTGTCAATCACTTACGTAGTTTGCAGCATTTATCGATTAAATGTAAAATTTGTACAAGTATTTATTTGAGTTATACAAAGTCTATACATATAAACGTTTTCAATGCGTTCCGCCCATTATTGTAAGAGACGTTAGAAATCTTGAGAACATGCCTTCTTTTTTTTCATTAACATATAAAATTAATATATATTTTTATCGGCATAAAAATACGGTGTATGCTTTTATTTTTCAAACGATACTTTGATACCTCTCAGTTTGAAACTTACGTAGCGTGTTAAAAGAAAATTTAGTGCAATTACTTCAGCTATTCGATTCTCAAAAATCGCATCAAGATTTATAATGTTCTCTTTCTTATTTTTGCCTATTATTGTTCAATAGTTATTACTCAAATTGTTCTCCAAAGTTTCGCTTCTCTGATTTAAGATTTGAATACTACCACGTTGTAGTTTACGCCATTCATTCCATTCCGCTGGGTGTGTTTTCTTTTTATGTGCATGCATGTTAGCGTTCGAATTAAACGTTCTCGCACAAAAGGGACATTTATATAATGTTTCTCCCGTGTGCTGAGCCATATGTTCCTGAAAAACAAGAAAAAATCCTTTACAAGAGATAGTATTTAACGGCTTAATACATTCCAATCAACCTTCAGAGCAATTGCTCTTTTAAATTCTTTATCGCATTGTTCGCATTTAAATATTTCGGTGGAATGCGCATTACGCTTATGATTGGTTAGAGCGCGGCGATTTTTGCAAAATTTCCCGCATTCCGGGCATTGATAAGTTTTACAGTCGGGGTTGTGAGTTTTTAAGTGTTGCTTTAAGTTATCCTCGTCTTTCAACCAACTATCGCAACCTGGATGCGGACATTGCAAGCGTGGGCCGCTATTTTCAAAATGCCCTCGTACATGCTTTTCGAAACAGCGTTTATCATTTATCGTCTTGGCGCAAACGTGGCACACGTTAGCTTCCCGCTTATGTCTTATGCTATAGTGTATTTGTAATAAATAATCAGTAGCGAAACTAAATGTATAAAAATGAAAACAAATAACTAAGCTTTTTAGATAGCATTTCGTGGATTCGTTTAACATACGCTTTGCGTGTCGGACATTTGGCACAAATAAAAGTTCTTTCCTCTCGAGGTATATGCGTCGCTTTGTGGTACTCCAAAAATTGTTTGCGTGCGAAACGTTGTGGACATAATTCGCAAGCGTGGGTTTTCTCCTCTTCGGTAGCGTGATGGCATAAAACATGCGCCCTTAAACAACTGCTGTCAACAAACGATTTTTGACAGCTGTGACATCTGAAGAAAAAAAAAATCAATTAATATGAGTATATGATTTCGCACATTTAAGGCGAACCTAAAGTAATCTGGATCTTCGTGTTTTAAAGCATGTTGATTCAATAGGTATCTTTGATTCAATTTACGTTCGCAACACATAACATAAGGTTTTTCATTGGGGTGATTGCTATTAAAATGTTGCACAATATCTGCAAATGTCTCGCCAATAAAGACGCATAAATTACACACCATCCGTATATGTTTCTTTATTAAGCTTTCTATTAATATTGGATCATACTTTCTTGTTGTTCTCTTCGGTTTTTTGGTATCTTCTACGTTTTTCCTACTTGATTTTCGTTTAGAAATCTTCTTGCCAAGTTTGATTTTTTTTTTTCTTGGCATTAGATATTCACTATCAGAAGTACTAAAATCAGGTTTGGTTTTATCTTCTTCATCTTCTGAAAAGTTGGCTACGTTAGCAGTCATACATTTTTCAACCTCGATTTCGTCCAATGGATTGGGTTCACTATTAGATCTTTGATCGGGAGCAACGAGCATTTCCGTTTCAACATTCAAGAGAGTTTCAGCGAATCGCTCTTCATCCTCCTGCTTAATATCAATTTCTTCACTTTTATATCTGGTTATATCCAACTTCGACTCGTAACCTTCATGGGCAACTCTTACAGCTTCATAAAAATCATGAAAATCGGCAATTTTGCCCCAACACTCTTTACAAATTATCGAAGATTTTTTGTCGTTCGGCAAAGGCTATAAACAAAAATTAACCGTAAACATTTCTTATTGAATTTATGAAGGAATATCCGTCCCGCTAACCTTAAACCAAAAGTGTTTATTTATTATTTCGGGAATATTCAAACTATCGCCTTCTTCAAAAAACAAAGGCATAGTTTCGCCTGACTCTTGTAAGCACATACGGCATAACATGGTACGTCCTGATGTCCTGTATTATGACAAATTATTTTATTATCACCTTATTTTACTAAAAATTTTTTAACTTTTGTTAGGAATATAACTTTGTCTTCTTGCGTTGTTTACTTATAAAAACAGCTGTTCGTTGTTGTGCTTTGAGATGGTAAGACAGGTTAAATGTAATCTGGAACTATTTTGTTTTTTGTAAGATTTAAAAGATGAAGCTATATTATATATATCGAAACTATATATATATTACGTACCTGTTTACAAGCCCATTTATATCAAATTCTATAAATCTGAAAAATTTTCCTTCGCAATTCGTTTATAATTATTTGGAAAGCCGACCTATGCTAGTTTTCTACTAAGTTCTGCAAGCTTCACTTATTCGTCAAACGTAAGATTGAGTCTAATTCCATCCAATTCTCATTTATAATTTCGTCCATATTCGTCTCCACCTACGTTTAAAACTGCAAATGCATAAACCCACATGTACGTTGTATTATGTGATGGACTACCAATAGTGAAAAACGTCTTCAATTGCTTTCGTTACAGAGTGTAAAATATTATACTTTATTATCACATAAATAGTTACTTTTAATGAGAACCTTTATATGACATAGGATCCATAAAACGCAATCCATTTTTAATAGACTTCATCACAGACCGAACAGCAAATAAGCTTCAATCGATTCAGAAAATCCAACGATAAAATCATAGATACGGCTCTCTTTAGTTCGTTTAGGTATTGCATACTTTGGCTTAAATTAATGTACCGTGTATCCTGCAAATAACGAAGGCTATCAAAATGCATCAGGTTTACTAATATTCCAATTACAAGTCGAGGTTATAGTTAAGTATCGCTGACAATTTACTTGGTTGCAAGTTTTATAGTCTGCCTTTCCACTCAACCCAACTTGTGATACGGCTACAAGAAAGACATGTAAGAAAGCTATATCTCTGCGATTATTTACAAAATACAATACGTAACAAGTAAAGTAAAGGCAGAACATTCACAATATTAAAAAGCTAAATTCAATTTCCTACATACTCTCAAGTTAAAACATCAATCAATAGTTCACATTTTTCTCGGAGCAACCGCGGAAAGTTATATAACCCACTATAAACTTATTGTTATTATGTATTTCTCTATCCTGCATCACTTGTCCTATTAGGGTATCTTAAGGCAGATGGATTTAAGATAGACTCATCACTAAGTTTGTCTGTTCGTCCTGTATTCTTGTGTTCAACCTATGGTTCGCAATTTTTGAGATGTTTTGAATCAAATTTGGTACACCGGTGCAAAATAGCCAACTGAAACTTTCACGCTTCGCACCATTATCCCGAGCAGTTCACATATAACGCCTGATTTTGAAAATTTTTGCGAATATCTGGTCGACCATGGCTCGTTATAAAGTTTTTACTGGTTATCATTTATTAAGAGTTCCATAACTTGATTATTACATAACGGAACAGAGGATGTGGAGCCCGAGGTACTATCACACCATATTGCCGACATTGATATAAATCTTAATTTGAAATATATACGATGTAAACGGTAATATGCACAATGTAATCTTAAATCTACTATTGGATGTAAAGAAATGTAATAATAATTTCTTATAAGACTTTATTCTTCAAAACTCAATTAATTGCCCGCATGTCATTATTTTTATGAAATCATTCGAAAAAAAAGAATAATAAAGAGTTTAATATAAAAATGTGAGTTGATTACAAATGATAACGCTGAAGGGGTAGTCACCACATTTTACGATAATAAGAACAAAACTCCAAACACATTCATCGGTCGGCCTTGCTCAACTGTATATTTTTACTTGTCAAACTATTTACTTCAAATTGAATTTTTGTGCAGAAGTAAAGTGTGACAGTTGCAAAGTGTGTATAAAAATAGCAACATGATTTTCATGGAGCTTGAACACACTTTGAGAAAGATCGATAATCGATAATTAAATGAAAAAAGTTGAAAGATTACAAACTGATCATCTAAAATATGTTAAATTATTGACTGAGAGCCTTCTAAAGAGAAAATTTTCATTTGATTCTCATTTTGTTGTCTGATTTTCACTTCTCACAACTGCCACTACTCACCATTTATTTATTGCAGTAATATTGGTCGTAGCAATTTCAATTTGCATTTCTGTCTGTGTAGCGGAGTGAAAAATTTTGAATTATGTGAGCGTCAAAAATTTTGAATTATGTGAGAGTATGGAATTTTGAATTATTTGAGAGTATGGAATTTTGAATTATGTGAGAGTATGGCTCAATTTGTTGTTCATCAAATTCCGTTGAATCTTTTACTTCGAAGCCCAATGAAGTTGGCCAAATTTCGAAAATGTGTCCCGCCACGGCTAGCTAAAGAAAGAAAAAGAAGAAATAACTCAAAATGTCCTTCAATCTACAGGTGAGTGTTAAGTATCTTAAGCGTATAAACAATCGAATGCCATATCACACAAATACATACATATACATTTTACTGATTACCTTTTTCTTCCGCTTCGGGCTAGAGAGCTAAAGTCGTCTTCTTCGTTCTATGTAACACATCGTAAACATGTGCTGACACTAAGTCTAGGAATCTTTGCACACTACAAGGTACTCTCAGGCGGAGAAATGGCTTCTCGTGGTTATTATTTTGATTCATATGCACATTTTGGTATACCAAAGAAATGCTCAAAAATGAAGTTCGGACTATAATTTAATGTTCTTATAGTAATATATTAAATGCACCTTATCACAGTAAAAGGTGATGTCTGCTTTTTAGTCGGTTGAATTGTTGTTGGAACGTTTCAATATTTCAATATTTTTTTCTACACTTTTCGATGGCATAGAAAAGACAACGGATTGCATCGATTTCAGGATTTGGAAAGAGATCCCCACGCGTGGACACAAACACTTAACAATTAAAAACAATTTATTAAGAAATCATTCACTCATATTTCTGAAATGTAACGATCGAATTACCTTGTGCTACGCGATATGTTATAACGGGCAATTTATTTTTATGATCGTTGACAACCTGTTCGTCTAAACATTTTGCAAACGTATAAGTGTTCGGATGATTTTGGAAAGTATATCCAATGTTTTGCTCTCGATCACTTCAGCTTATTTAATTGTTGTACACCAATCACAACTGCTTGTCATAACCTGTGTGTAAACTTTGAAAATATTGGAAAAAATGTAGTTTGTAGTGTGCATTTTCATATAATTGGGGGATACGTGGACGTAATGTACGTTCGCATATAGAGTGGAAATGTATACGAAAGCCTTTAGCTGTGGCATTGTTTCAGCGATTTTCAAAATTTCATAAGTGCCACGCAAATTTACAAAAATTCAATCTTTGAAGGGGTTATCGAATCTTTTGAGAAAAACCGAATCTTGAATTTTTTAAGAAAAAAAAAAACAAATTATTTGTTTGCTTACTGCGGAAATTGTGCTTATTTCATTATGTTAAATATTTCAGTGTATGATTAGAGCGAGAGATTTCAATTTCATCATAGAATTAACTGAAAAACCTGTAACGGCCGCGAACAAACCTTGGGTAGGGTGTCTGTCGGTCTGTGTCAACCGCAAGCGGCGCAATAACGGCATGCCGTTAGACAAAATCATGCGATTTTGTGGTACCGCAAGTAAATCGCATGATCTTGCGGTATATGTGTTTATTTTTTTTCTTTTCTGATCTCCTTACTTACAAGTACAGGCAAAATCGTATGATTTTGCGGTACCTTTGCTTGCTTT